CTTCTAAGTGTATTGGTTGTTTTATCCTGTGGTGAGGGGAGCTCAGCTTGCACAGCTTCACCAGACAGTATCACATGCCATGTTACTAGCCTGGAAAAGATGAAAATTCAAAATTCCAAGTATGGCTTCTACAGAATGCATGTGCCTTCTAACCACTGTAAAGTCAAAACTACTGAGTTGAATCATCATAATTTAGAGACAGTCTGTAGTGACTGAAAGGAACAGACTGTTGATACGTGCAATAAACTAGATGTACCTCAAGGGTGTTACTCTGAGTGGAAAGAAGAAGTCAACCCCCGAACAGTGCAGAGTGTGTGATTACACTTACTGGCTTATTATGGTCCCACACATAATGTATGATTTTACTTATACCATATTCTCAAAAGGACAAAATATAAAGATGCAAAAAAGATCAGTTGCCAGGGGTTATCAGGGGATGCACGGGTGTGGAGCGTGATATGGAGGATGATGAAGCAGTTCTGTATCTTGATTTTAGTGGTAGTAATAAGATCCTATACATGTGATAAAATTTCATAGCACTATGCATCAAAAAGTGCATATAAAAATGAGTGATTCAGAGTAAGGCCTGTATTTTAATAATATTTTATCCATATCAATTTCCTGGTTTTGATCAATGTACTACGGTTATGTAAATTATTATCTTTGGAGAAAGTTGTGTGAAATGCAGAGAGAACTCCACAATACATTGGCAACTTCTATGTGAGCCTAAAACTATTTCAAAATAAAAGTAAGCATCTGATGCAACCGTAAGATTGCTGGTGGCAGTGTAAACCGGGCAACAACTCTGGTGGTTTCTCACAGAGTTAAACATACACACAACCCAGCAACTCCACTTCTAGGCATTTACGGAAGGGAATGAAAATATGTCCCCAAAAGACTGGTAAAGAATATTCATAATGGAGTAGAGTATACATTTGATTAGAGTTCTCTTCATTGGACTGAGATATAGAAAATTAAAGTAGGATACAGTACCTAGACTGGAATGCTTGTTCAGTCTCAGAGAACAGCCATTATCAAGGATGTAACAGGCAGAGACAAAAGGGAAGATCTGGGAACCTCAGTAGTGATTCTGTGCCTTCGTACGCTATGTGAGCTGTGGGAGTGATTATTAAGGAACCAAGGAGATTCTGAGGACAAGCAACCATAGAACTACTCAATTATGCTCACCAGGATTTCTTTACGGGGTGGGAAAACAAAAATAAAATGTTTGAAATTGGATAACTTGACATAAACAACTTCAGTAGATGAAATTTAAGGACAAAATGGAAAAGAATCTTCATTCCTTCAATGTCGAGAAGGGGAAATATTTTTATCTTGGAAAACATTTATACTGGTAATACTTTTTTTTTTAACATTTTCACTGATTAAACAGCATTTGGGGAGAGGTTTTGTCCTCCTGACAACTATAATAAGAACTGTGGAATTGTACCAAATGATACAGAAGCACTCTTAACAAGATGGCCAAGTATTTGGATTTGGAGGACCCATGGACTCTTGCTTCCTAGAATTCCTAATAAATTAAGCCTAAAGTTATATCATAAATGAATATGATTTTCTGCTGTTACTGTTTGGTATGCCAATACACACCTGGAGAGATTACAAAGTCAGCAGCCTATTTTGTTATTATTTGTCTGAGCATTATTTGCTGCTGTGAACTTACCAGATCCCGTGGTTTGGTGGGTAAGAAGGAAGGAAAGGAGCTGAGGGCTCCTTGTTTGTCTTTTGTAGGGAAGCCGGGAATGGGTGAGCATAGTTCACCTTAGAATCGAACTCAGAGGCAAGACAACAATCAGAATATGAT